GCTTAATTAAATTCCTATGTTTTTCATTTCTTACATCGTTACCACCCGGTCCCCCACTTTGGATTTAGACAAGGAAATGGCATTAAAAATGCCTTGAATTTTATTGTATATCTCATTGGACTAAGTAAGAAATATTCCTCAACTTTATAATTCAATATGCTAAAATTAAACGCACTTTTAAAAAGAAGAAGAAGAGAAAAAAAAAAACCTTTAGTGTAAATGAATAATTACAATTAATGATTTTGATGGTTAACTAGCTGTAGATTAGCCTAGTAACATTAAGAAATATGAAAATAATAATAATAAAATTTTAGATGATCAATGGATTTGAGCCACATTGTGTGACCTCCATCATTATATTTAGTGATATTAAAAAAATAATTCATATGCATTTTTTTTTATTAAAAAAAGTCATTCTGTATTCCATATATTCCAAATGAAAACCTACAATAGTATATTTTTGTATTATTGAGGTAGACGATATCAGATAATGTGTATAGTTTTGTTAACATTTAATTGAATTGAATTGTTAATTTTGAATTAACTGGCTTTATTAACTTTTTTAATTTTTATTTTGGAAAATATAATCTATGAAAAATAGTCCGGTTATATTTGCAAATAAGACAAAAAAAAAAATGATAATACGATTTGATTTTGTGACAATTTTGTAAAATGGGGATCTATAAAGGATAGACATGATAAACATCGAGGTCAATCACATTGCTATTTAATACAAATATGCAGAGTTGATATATATTATTTTGGGTCATATTGTATATTTGCAACTGCCTTTTCTATTTAGGTATTAATTAGTTATTTATTAATTTTTTTTGTAGGGTTATAAAAAACTATTTTTAGTATTTAAGTTTTTAAATATTATTTTTTTTACAATAATACTTGGAAGTAAGATTGAATACAAGACCTTCTAATAAAAGATATATGCCTTATCGAATTGACCTTTTTAAATATGATGAATATTAAAGAGTTTTCTCCCGGTATAAATTTCCCTTATTTATCCATATATTTGCTTTTATGAAAAAATTGGCTGCATTAATACTTATGTGTCTATCTTCTTCTTCTTCTTTTTTGAGTGAGTGTGATTTGTAAATATTAGTTTAATGCCTTGGCAGTTTGAATTTATGTTGCCACTTTGCTTAAAAAATTTGTAGGGTATACATAAATAAAACTCATGTATGAAATGTCATGATATCAAGTCATATACGCCTAACTTTGTAGGCAAATGTCCCCTTCAATTTGTAGGCTTTTTTTTTATCGTTTACAACGTTATACCGTGTCACTTTTATCATGTACATGTACCACATTCAATCATACCAAAACATTCCAAAAATTTTAGGTTATGCTATGATAAGTATTTTTCTAACTTTTTTTTTTAAAAGATAATATAATTTACTAAATAGTTTGCTTTACATTTTATATTTATTTGGAAAACCCAGAATATTAGTTCAATTTAAGAAATCCAGTATTAAATGATATAAATTTTATTGAGAGGGCCTTATATTCACAATTTATGTGATTACTATAATAGTTCATCAACGTTGAATGTGATTAGCTCCAGCTTAGTTCAATAGAAAAATAAAAATACATTGTGTTTAGCGTCAAGAAAGTTCAAGAAATGATTTTAAATTATGCGATTTGAACTTCGAAAAATTATTTCAAATTCTTTATCTTGTTTGAAATAAGAATAATTTGAAAAGAATTAAATTAAATTTCTTTATTTAGAGGTTTACCAAAAACGAAAAGAAAATTAGAATTTTTCATATTTGAACTTTTAATCTAAATTTATTAATTGTAAATTAAAATATTTACAAGATTAAATAAGTAATTTTCTCTTTAAACTCGTGTGAAATCATGTAGAATTTGGTCATTTTCATTGGGAAATCTTTTTACATATTAAATCATTCAAAATCACGAGTTACCGAACAATGGAATTCATTTGAAATTTGTCGAAATGGGAGGCATCAAACATAATATTAGTATTTTCTTTATTTTAGAAATAATCAAATTCATTCGTAGTCGGTCGGATCACATCTAATACCCTTCAAAGATCGACGGTTTAACGAAAAAAATCAAATCCAGCGATAATATTAATCCAAAAATATATTTAAAAAAAGTTACTTTTTAATTAACACAATTTTGTTGAACAAAAAATAGGAAGTGAAATTAAAAGAAAAAAAAAAGGATTATTTGATGTAATGATGAATAGAGAGGATTGGAGGAACATTTTTCCAAAGCGTGGAAGGAAAGAATATTTTTGGAAAAGAGAGTTCAGAGTTCAGAGTCAACGTGTGGTAAACATAAGCGGCTTTGGATTTGGATGTGAACGCCCAGAGCCGTAACGGAACACAACACAAATCCAACTCCGTGGTGGACCCAAAACCAAAACCGAAAACCAAACCGCGTAATTCTAATTGCCTTTTTAAAACTCCGCCACATTTCAGATAAGCTTTTTAATTAATCACTAATGTAAATCACATTGACGTGTAATTACGCTCCAAATTCCCACAATCACCATCTAAAGCGGGTGGTTTCATGTCATCCCCATGGGTAATTTTGGTACTTTCCCACGAAACTTAATTTGACTGTCTCTGATTATAAACTGGAATTTCCATTTCCATGGGAACCCATTGCCCTGCTTTTAACCTTATCCGCATATTGATTTTGACTAATACCTCAGTTTTTGTTTCTTCCCCCCAAATCCACCAATCAATGTTTTAATTAAACACCATACCAATATCAGATCTAACGTCTAAATCATCTAATGTAAAAATTAAATTAAATTAAATTAAATTACACACAGGAGATGAAAATCAAAGTTTGGGGCTTGGCAGAATATCACATCAAATCAATACAACAAAAATTATTAAAAAATTATTATATGCTTTTTGAGCGAACGATTTCCACAAGCAAAGAGTAGAGGGGGTTGTGTTATCGAGGGCAGAATGGTCATAATGGAAAATGAAAATTGAGGTAAAGGGCCCCACCCTCCACATGTCCACTCATGTTGTCTTATGTCTTCTCTTGCTTAGTCAATTATACTTTGGTTGGTTTAAATTAACAAGCATCTTTTTTTTTTTTATTAATTTTATTCTCCATTTTGTCCTCAATTACAGCTTTACCACTTCATCTTCCAACCTTCTTCAATCCTCCCAATGCTACACGTTTTTTAAGTCATTCCACTCATTTATTTCTTTTTCTTTTTTTTTCATTGTCCTAATAAAATGGTTATTAAATGACATAAAAAGTTAATTAAATGATGGTTTGAATAAAAACTTAACAAAGTACAAAGTGGAGTAAATGCCAAGTGTAATTGTAAAAAAACCTAAAACATTTCCCCTCAAATTAGATGAATAGAGGCTAAAACTAAAAAAGTTGGAGAGTTGACTTCGGGGGACTATGAGCCCAGATAATTTAATGAGCGATTAAGTTTAGTGCAGAAATCAAATTTAATTTATTACATAGAGAAAAACAAAAATCTACCTGATTGGATGAATGGTGGTAAATCTAAACAATAATAATAATAATGACGTAAAAGCAGTTGTTTTAATTAATAAATGAGATTAGAAGGGAAGGTTTATTAGTAGTGTGATTAGGGAGGTTAATATGGGGTGGGATGGGATTTGACTAGTCAAATCAATAAATTTTAATTTTTTTTTAGTGAGTCCTGAGTGGTCCATTATGGATGTGATCTGACGAATGAGGAAGCGAGTGCAAGGGGAGTAGTCTATGATGGTTCGTACAGTATGAGAGCTCCACGAACCCCAAAATTTACCGGGAGGTCCGTTAAATTTGACTTGAGAAAGAAAATATTTTTAATTAATTTTGGTTTAGTGGCGGTGGCGGAGTGTGCGTGCGCGTGCGCGTGGAAATTGGAATTTGGACGGAGCCGCCGCGGTGGGACG